CAAAGAAAGAAAAAAAAAGAAAGAGAGAGAGAGAGAGAAAGAGCATGCGCGCGAGAAAGAGTCGATTCAGGAAGGAGGTGGAAGGATGAGGGTGGAAGCACGGAAGGTATATATAGCGGGAGAGAGGATGAGTATAGGTACGTTTCATTCGTTGTCGCAACAAAGGAGCCCCCGGGTGGCTTCGCAAACAGAAACCGGAGACCGTGGTCTGTGTATGAATTTCCGCAGCTGGCTACGGGAGACAAACAGATAGCTAGTTATTTCTGCATTCAACGGCTGAATGGCCAACGCGTCTGGAACGAGGCACCGGTGCGATACAAGCGGCCATTATTGGAGAACACCGGCGGCGAGCGGCACGCTCGAAGAATTCCAGCGTTATCTTCGTCCAGCCGAGTTCGAACTCTTCCTCCCTCTTCCTCGGCTCATCAGCATCAGCACGAATGTATCTGATTGCAAAATCTTCAAGGAGAAAGAAATCATTTCTAATTCTCACATTTTCATTTTCACGTAATTAAATTTGGGCCAAATTTTTTGAAAAACAGAATCTCTATAAAAAAAAAATTAATACCTTTCGTTGATACGCTTTCTACATGACACATGTATACAGAGAGAGGCGAGTTTTTTTTTTTGGTGAAACAGCAAGAACCTTTTCAGCAAGGAGGAGTAAGTTCAAAAATTATTAAATTAAAAATCTGAAATATAATATACGTTTTGCAACACGTTTTATTAACCAACATGAAAAGTAAAATCGACTATCAAATTCTCTCACGGACTTGACGATCGATTTTATTTCCTATCCAAGTTAATAAAACTTCATTTTAATCATTTAATATCAAGTCCCTTTTCAGAATTTTTTACACTTGATGATACAAAAAAAAGAATAGAGAAAGAATGAGAAAGAATTAAATGGAGATGGAGTTAAATAACAACAGCAATGTTGAAATTGATTTTTATCGTCACGATCAGCATAAAAAGATAAATTTCACATCGGCAATCTAGAATCGGCTCTCAATCGATATTCTCATCGAAAGAATTTTCCGAAAGAAGTAGGTTCTTATAAAATGTTGAAGCGGCTGAAATATCGAGGGCCGCGGCACAATGCGGCAAATGTGAGGGAGTTGACTTTCGCGTTCTCCACGCTGTTCCACCCCACTAAGGCCATTTGG